ATTGTTCTACAGTCTTAATAGCATAACGTATTTTTAAATCAAACGATCCTACTTGGTAAATATTAGAGATAGGTACCTTAGGTATAGTTCAATTTTGTAATTGGTTTTCTATATTGTCAATAAGAAGTTCTTCTTTATTTTTTATCTGAAGAATATTATTATTTTGAGGTAACGCTTTATTAGATATATTCCTAATGAAATTTTCCATTATTAGGTTGCGGATGAGTGCTTTCTTGGCTACCTCTTACGTCTTTTTGACCTCAGCGGCTCTCCTGGCCTTAACGGTCTCTCGACTAGGTGCTCTTTAGCCTCAACTCTTGGACGAACTTTTTCTAATGGTAAATTTACTTAGGTTTCTGCCTAATAGAGTATTTCTCAAAGTAATAATTTCCTTAGGATAAAACTTAATAAGCTTTTTTTTGTAACGTTTGCTCTGATACCAAATCGAACCAAGATCAACCCTTTATGCTACTAACCTAAAATAACCTAGATATAAGAATAAAAGGTTGATTATAAATAGTGATAATAAAGATATGTCTATTAAAAGCCAAGTAGTATAAGAGGATTCATAAACTTTTATGCTTAACACAATTCTAAATTGCATAATTAAACATATTTGAATATTATTACTTCAAACTAACTGTATATTAAACAACTGTATCAAAAATTACAGACTGAAAAGCTATTTGGGTTTTCATATGGAGTATAATCCAAAAGTATTTGTTTGAGAATAATATTATTAAGCTCAAGTTGGTGGAAGACAAAGACGTCCCACCATTTAACTGCAATTTGCTTTTCCAAGCATGGTCTATATTGATAATTATTGGTTATATTCGGAGATATAGCGTATGACCATTTTAATATCCATGGAACTTGATATAATGCTACAAAATACATATGATAATGCACATTGGGATTGCTCCCATTGAATTCTATAAAGTTGTCTTCGGATAATTGTAAGGTTTTGGGCATTATTTGGGTTCTGGAACCCCAAACCATAAACCAGTCTTTGAACCAGTTTGGGAATGGGTTTGTAACTGGGAGTTTGAATTGTAAGAACCAGGTATAAGAATAAAACTGGTTTTGAACAGTAAGCGCTTTGTGTCAGGCTTCAATATATTCTGAATATATGAAATGCTTATTTGGGAATTCTGGGGATATTAATCTTTTTGCCCTAGAAGGGTCTGAATCCCATTCATTGAAATGTAAAACTTTTCTTACTTGTAATTTTGAATATGATATTATTCGCGAATTTTTCTGATAGTAATGTGCTATTGTGATTGAACCAGTCTCTAGCAGTATCATTTCAAACCATTCTCTGGTTCTTATGCCAAAAGAAGGGTTTAGGTTATTGCATAGATAGTATCTAGCTAATATATTTGGGTCCTCAGCCACTTGATTATCTTCTATTATGATATCATCAATAAAAGCGGTTGCTTCATATTGAGATTTGAATGTAGGTATAGAAGATTGTAGGAATAATGGTGTGCGAGGAGATGATTGAGGAGGTTGGCTTGAGTATGTGGGATAAACTGGACTATTTGGGTCAGTTGGAGAATATGGTACCAAATTTCTAGTTGGTGAAGGGGATGAACTGGGTGATGAACTGGCTGGAACTATATCTGTTGGCATTTTACCACGATTAGTATTAGTATTCATATTATTATTGAATAATATAAGACCTAAAGATAATTCTTCAGGGTCAGAGTGGTCTGTTCTGCCCCCCTGCAAAAATTCACGTGTTTAAAAAATCAGGTAAATGATTAGAAGTACCACTTAGATGCTCAATGGTAAAATCAAACGTAGAGAAGATCGCTTGCCAATGAGCGAATATCTGTTTAGACACTAAATTTTACACATCTTTTGCAAGTATATCTTTAACGGCCTTGCAGCCAGTATATATAAGAAATGTGGAATTAAGAATTTTGCCTTGAAATTTAGTAACACAATGTACTATAGCTAAAATTTCTTTTTTAACTATAGAGTAATTTTGTTGAGTAGAATTCTATGCTTTAGAAGTATAGCGAACTAATTGTTCACTAGAATTTATTCTCTGTTTAAGTATTCCACCTAAGCCTAATTTTGATGCATCACATTCAATAATTTTAAAAGCGTCAGGATCAGAAAGAGAAAGACAATGTAATATTTTAGATTTAAGTTTGAGTTTCTTCACTGCTTCAGTATGGATATTAGTCCATTTAGGAGGGTTCTTTTTTAATCTATCATATAAAGGTTTTCCATCTATTGCTAGATTTTGATAGAAATCTACAATGTAATTGAGACATCTTAAAAATCTTTGCAACTCTTTTTTATCTAAAATAATATCGATGAATTTGTCTGCAAATTGAATTGATTTATCTATTGGTATGATGGTTCCTTGGGATATGTTATGTCCTAAAAATCTGATTTTTGTTTGAAATAGACTCATCTTTATTTGTAGATATGGCTAACCCTGCATATTTAACAGCATTTATAAAAGCATTGATATGTTTGATACGTTGGGGTATACTTTCAGATAAAATTAAAACATCATCTATATAGACTATCATGAATTTGATATAAGGATTAAAAACATCATTCATAATTCTTTGAAATTCTAATGGAGCATTATTTAGTCCAAATAGCATGACGTTCCATTCATATTGTCCAAAAGAGACATTAAAAGCC